GCTCTATAGAGTGTTACATTAAATCTTGGCCTAACTCAACTCATTTCAACTTCAGAGACCTCATCTAAAGGATTGAATGTCCGGTAGAAAAATTTGTTCATGATTCTTACGGCTGAGCGATGTGAATTTCCAATCCTTACAAGACCGTCGTCTAAGGTCCCCTCATACGACTTATTTTTCATACTTTGAAGTTTGAATACATACTATTGAATGCTGAGCTCATCTCCCCAGTATGGTATTTTGATAGTGATTTAGCCAAGGAACGAATCTCACTTTATTCCTTAATCTACACGAAATTGATCAAAATTTTTTTAATTATTTCTAAGCGTTTGCCTTAAAATTTTCTCAGATAAAAGATAAAGACCTCATTAACCTTCTTTTAACGAGGAGTAAAAACGGCTGAAAGATATTAAAAAAGCAGTAATGCAAATAGGGAACCTAATGACTGTACAAACAGCAGCAATTACTCCTCAATCTCAGTTTACCCAATTAAGGATAATTTAAAAGGATAAACGTTGTAATGAATGGACTACTTTTTTGTTCTGCGATTGAAAAATCGATGCATGCCGCCTTTTCCTTCTTATTATATGTGTCGGCGGCGGTGGCACTGGAAAACTTTTAAACGCGACGACATGAGAACGTCAATCAAATGTTTTGCTTCCGTTTTTGTTATTAATTATGTAAAAGGATAATTTCCTTCCGTTTTTTTGAAAGCGTTGATGCGGTCTAATCAAACACAGAGACAATGGCGCATCAAATTACTCTTTTTTTTAAATTTGTAACGTCAGTATTACTAAAAATGTTTACCTGAAATGCAGTGGAGTTAATTTGATAACATAAAACTAGGCAAAAAATAACTCAAATAAGTAGTCACATTGATTCCAATTTAAGTCCTTATCGAGAAAATATGCAGCCCTATCGACTTTGTGTTAGTAAAAGAACGGGTATGGCGCAAAGAAAATCCGCACGTAAGGAATCCGTCAATCAAGTAACACTTGAAAGCAGAAGGAAAACGGAAAAGGTTTCGCATGATGAAAACCCGTCGAATAATCAATTTATTATTTGAACAGCTTATTACATTGATTCAATACAGCTTTTTCAGTGTATCCTTAAACACTGGTAATTTGCGTTCAAGCCCACGTAAAGAGAAGATATAATTCAAATTGAAAGTATTTGTTTGATCTGCTCGATGAGAGGTGATTTGCATTCGAGCCGACCTGGAGAACTCGACTTAAATCAACCAATTATGACCCCAACTGTATATAAATGAACCACGCTTCTTGAATACTCACAGAAATATAACAATTAACAAAGTTTCCTGGAACAAAGCAAAAGCGCAGCTCGTGTTCTTTTTATTGTCGAGGAAAACACTAAAACTTACTTCGGTTGAAAGTTCCTACCTTCATAAAATATTCGCGATGAAAGTTAAGACAAGAAATGCATACGTGAATCATTAATTTACGTCAGTCGCGATAATTCCTTTCTAATTTACAAGGGGGAAGCCGAGGAATAAGCTAAGAGATTATTTTTCCATTGCTCAGCGAGACTTCTTGTAGCAGAACCGCGTACCTCCCCAAAGTCGTTTTTATAATATATAGGAACATTATTTTTCCACTTCTATAATGGCGTATGGGAAGCAATATTTTAGGAAATTGCTATGCTGACACGATTTCGCTTTTTCGTAATATTTTTATTTACCGATTATACCATATTTTTATTGGTGTTAGAAGTCGACCCACTTTAGAATTAACGCCGAAACGTTTCATATTAAATTAAACTTTTCCCTTTCCCATTAATTTTTTTTAACTGCTGCTTCTTATTAGTGACCTATGTACGTAATGTATGGGCACCGCATTGGAGGTATTTTTGCCGAAGGAAGACAATGGGAGACCAAGGGAGAGATATGCAGAAAGAGCTACTGAAAGAAAAAAGATGGTTGCATTATGGAAAAAGGCTCGACGAAATCAGATGTTAAGTCGTCAAGGAACGTGAAATGGATATGAAGGCTGGTAGCGGAAAAGAGGCCTGAAGGAGATGTGAATAAAAATGACGTAACAGAACATATCCCAAACAACATATTATATACCAAAAACAATGGCGGGACATCCTGTATACAAATATACAGAGTGGCCCAACGAGAAGTATACAGAGGGCTTTTAGGGTATTAAATTTAGAAATTTCGAAAAATCCTCGAACACGTCAATTTTGTATTCGAGGGGGACAACTTTTGGAATACAAATCACGAACCCAAGTCTTCACTCCTCTACGTAGGTCGCTTAACCCCTAAGATTTTAAATGGAATCCTATGGCAAATGGCACATTATTTGAAAGCCAATTTAATCGTGATTACTAATCTGCTTTGCTTTTTAAATTCTATTCGTGATTTGTATTCCAAAAGTTGTCCCCCTCGAATAAAAAATTGACATGTTCGAGGATTTTTCGAAATTTCTAAATTTAATACCCTAAAAGCCCTCTGTATACTTCCCGTTGGGCCACTCTGTATATATAAAGTTAATACTTCTCCAGTTATTCGCGACCGAAACCTGAGTTTTTCCTGGAAAAGACCAATGTTTTTAATTGGTTATTCGCGAAATACTCGAAAAGTATGCATTTTATAAAGAAAAACTGTGGAGAACAAAATCGTAGCTTTTAAAAAAAAAACAAAGAAAACCGATTTTTAACGACTGCTGTACATAACCAATACGAGCCGAGTTGTGGCTCGTTAAAGGATAGCTCTTGTTGGTCAAACGCAGGGTCAATCGCTAAATTAGAGAGTTTCATAGTCAAATAACGGCAAAACTTTCGAGAAAAATTTGTAGAACATTTTTACAGTATTCCTTTCATATTTTTTTCAAACAAACTACTATAAAAACTACGTGAGTTAAAATGAAAATAAGGTAGATCCGTACTTTTTTCACTGCAAGCAACCACCTAATTACCACCCTAATTAAAATTATTCCTTCTCCTTTTCCAGTTTTCCCTAATTATGTATTATTAATACCTTCTAGAAGTGTGTCCAGTTTTAGAAGGGTTAATTTTGAAATAATTGAAACTAAAAGTGAAAATCGAATTTATGCAACTGTGTGAAAACGCCCTTCGTTTCAAAATAACTACAAAACAACTGGAGATGCGTAAAAAATGCTACAGCATCCAATTGTTGTAGTTATAAATTAAGTGAGATATAGACGTTTAAAACGTGTATTTATATGCGAGCACTACCTTGTTGTAGCCCTGTAAGCTCACCCCATTTTAAAACTAAGAGTTTTAAAGGGATTTACTGTAACTAACCTTGTAGCTCATCTTGTAAAAACCTACAAAATGGGTTTTAATGCACTTTGTATCATAAAAAATAAAGGAGTTGGGATTAAAAAATGAATCACAATTTTTTTCGAAAAATTCTGAAAGCACAAATCGAAGCACGCTGATCTACATGGACGGTATACAGGGTGTTTTCTTTTCATTTTAAGCATTGGGATCACGGAAACCATAAGACATACAGATTCGATTAACACATGCGCGGCGGCCCGGAACTTTTCCCTTTGTACAAATACATAAACACTAAGGGGTAGTTTTCACCCCTTAAAAATGAAGAGCGCCAATCGGTATAATATAGAACTTGAAGTGGAGGGTAAGTTGAACTTAATCCCAAATTTTTATGTAAAGCGATGCATTTTGAAAAAAATTGCCAGGTTTTATACTATTTTAAGTTTCGTTTCCTGGACTATAAGACAAGAGAAATTTGACACCGTTCCCTTCCCACGTAGCTTTAATAATGAATGCATGTTGTTTATGTCAGTGACCTTAATTATTCAACTGTTTTCAGCAAACCCCAAAAGTGGTTGAACGCGAAAAGTTTTAACTTTGTATCCTAATGAAAAGTTAAAGACACCTCATCGAAAACACGAGGACGTTGAATATTCATATCTGTACATTATGTACACGTATACGTTTGACGTGCTTTGCTAAACATACAGAAAGAAAAATAGGGGTAAAAAAAGGGAAAATGTCACCCTTCAACGAAAGCCATGCTTGTGTAATGACGCAACTCCCTCGAGTTAAACAAATGTAATACAAATACAGATGACAGGGTAGCTTATCACCCTTATCATCAATTATTACCGCTGCTAACTAGAAGGGAAGTTTGCCTTGCTCTTTTTCGAGCGGTAGCTTGCTTTTTGACGAATGCTTATAGTGTGTAAACTTTTGGATGAAAGCAAAAATTAGGGGTCGTTCTGCGTTTATGGAGGCATTTTTTTAAATATTTATTACCTTTAGGTAACCTAGTTTGTAACGCATTGAGTTGTAAACAGCAGTTGAATTTATAAGCAGTTAACATGATATATTTTGTAATTTTATGGGCATGAGGGATGGGATGATAGGCACGTCATCCTTTTTAAATTATTAATACACAGGCAGTCCATTAAAAAATTTATTATTCGCATACATTTTTCAATATCGCTTTATGCGAATTTTGCCTGATGAACGTGACAATTTCGTTTTATATTGATCGTTAATGTCGGGTTTGCAAAGCCTACAAAAGATTGCAACCATCAATGCCAAAACGGGAGTAGGAATAATCTAGGAATTAGTCTTGACAAACTTCTCTTCCGCCACCTAGTAAAGAGACTGTGTTAATCGTAATCAGGTAATTTATACGCACAAAAAGGAGGGGTGATGTCTGAAGTTCGATAGTGTCCAATTAAAGAACCGATTTTGTTCTCAGAGTGCGATTCCGTAACAAAACCAAATAAAAAGAGTGTTTCGGGGGTGAAAATAAGTACGAGGGGACATTATGTAGAGATTCACTATCTGATTTGATTTCAAGCGACCCGTGGTCATACTGGTTTTGGTGACCGTGACAGAACAATTTTTGATGGCGTTTCGCGAACTAACTATAGAGGAAGATATATAAGAAGGTATATCGATTTTTTGTAGTTTTTGATTGTTATAGATGGACAGCCTGAAAAAGAAACGAACAATTTTACGAGCAAGTTTTACCAGATTCGCTAATGATCTGGAAAACCACATGAACGCAGCCGAGGTGGATCTTCAAACGGTAAACGTAGTTTGGGAGACGATGCAACAGAAAGAGGAAGCATTGGAGACAGCTGATAATCTTATCCTGCAGAAAATCTGCTGACTGAAATGGACACCGTCGACGAGTGTCGTAAGAGGTTCACCAAGTTGAGGTTGATGTGTGAAGGCGCGCTCGATAGAGGTCACTAGATGCAGTTAGTCAAGGAGATTAGAAACTTTTTTCCAGCGTCGCTGATCTGGCGAGGAATCCGTCGGGCGTAAGAAACAGAGCTACTGCTGCAGAAAGGGAGGTATTCCTCATTTAGCTGCTGCAAATATCTTCTTTCCCATTCCATACGGTGCTGACGTGGTATCACACCCACTCACTGCGTGGAGGAAAAGTACCTTCTTCGGGGAAAAGGATTAGGAGCTTGGCGAGTGGAGGGCGCTGCATTTTAGAGCTCGACGTACTCGAACGCAAAGGATATCCGGGAAACACACACAGAAACAGAATTCGCACAAAAAAAGTCGCGCTAGGTAACTTACACCGAGGTTTAAAACAGAAAAATTTCTCACTATCGCATGGCACCTTTATCAATTATCTATACATTTCACCTCAAATCACTTATAGATAGTAAACAGGTGCACTAAACTAGAACGTCATAAAACTACAGGTTCGTACCCTTTTACGTAGATAAGTGAAATTCCTTGTAAAATTGTGAAACAAAGGAATATAAAAGTATTTTGGTTACTATGAAATTTCATCACATTATTCACAATGTGCTTTGATCACCCAAAAAGTTAACTTAGATTCATTTTAAGATACCAACCAAATTTACACATAACTTCTTACTTCGCCTTTCCGTTTCAAGGTTTAATAGGCGTACCGATTAAATTATAGACTATCGTAACTGCGCAGTTTCGCTTGTGAATAAGTACAATGTGGGCGATAGTTCTGCTTGGTGTCCTAACGTTTCTAATATATCGCCATTTTAAAAAGTCACTGAACTACTGGGAGGAAAAAAATGTTCAGCATGATAGACCGCTTCCGATTTTTGGGAATATGTTACCCAATTTGTTGGGAAAAATTTCAAACGCCGAGTTGATCCAACAACTTTACAATAAATATTCAAGTGGAAGGTAATTTTCTCTTTCGTCAGGCTATTCCTTTGCAAAATAATTTTCTTGCAGATACTTTGGCCTTTACAACTTGGGTAGTACTTCATTAGTGATAAGAGATCCGGAGCTGATAAAGAAGATCGCGGTGAAAGAATTTGAGACCTTTCCGGAACATAAACCCTTTATTCCAAGTGACGTTGATCCACTATGGAGTAACAACCTGTTTGCAATGGAAGGTATAATAATTTTCTCGCCTAAAAAAGATAAAGGTAACCCTTTAGCTTTTAGGTGGAGAAAAATGGCACCAGCTGCGGTCTACTTTAAGTCCGTCGTTCACCAGCAGCAAAATGAAGGCTATGTTCGTGTTGATGAAAGAATGTACTAAGGAATTTATAAATTACTTTGAAAGCAAAGGCGATAGCGTGGATGTTGAACTGAAGGGCGCGTTTGCAAGATTTGGAATCGATGTTATTGCCACCACTGCTTTTGGCGTGACCTGTAACTCCTTGTCTGATCCAAAAAACGAATTTTATGTCCTAGGCAAGGAATTGATGAACTTTAAGGGACTGAGAAGGATCATTTTGATGTTAAATTTATTATGTCCCCCTATAGCCAGGGTGAGACCTCGTACTTCCCTCATTATGTTTTACATTCACTAATTTCTTAGATTACCAGAGTATCATTTTTCCCGGAAAAAATCAAGAAGTTCTTTGGGTCGCTTGTCAAAGAAACTCTACAGTTGAGAAGAGAAAGAAAAGTTGTTCGTCCGGATATGATTCATTTGCTAATGGAGTATCAAAAAGGAAATCTAGCTCAGGAGGAGGATGCGCATAGCACCCCCGAAGCTGGGTTTGCTGTAGTTGAAGAATCCGTATTTGGGAAAACAAAACAGAAGTTGAAGTTTGAGGTAACAGACGATATTATCACCTCGCAGGTGATGATATTCTTTCTTGCTGGACTTGATACGGTGTCTACAATGATGAGCTACACTATTTACGAATTAGCCCTTAACCCAGACAGTCAAAACAGACTGCGGGCGGAAATAGAGGACGCGTTAAGGTTTTCAGATGGTAAACTAACGTACGATAATTTAATGGGAATGAAATATCTGGACATGGTCATCTCGGGTAAGTGGTAAACAACACGAGAGTGCATTTGTTGAACTTTAGTTTTAGAGTCGATGAGAAAATGGCCACCGTTCGTGTTAATCGACAGAAGATCCGTTCGACCTTACACAATCGAACCAGAAGGTCCGACAGAGACACCAGTGTTTCTTGAGAAGCATTCCCAAGTCATATACCCGATCTTTGCCATACACAGGGACCCTAAGTATTACCCTAATCCCGATAAATTTGATCCAGAAAGGTTCAACGATGAAAATCGCTCCAGTATACAACCGTACACATACCTTCCGTTCGGAGCTGGACCTCGAAATTGCATCGGTTAGTGCACAGAAAAATCGCGCTAAATTCATCGTATCACTATTTCAGGATCACGATTCGCACTGCAGGAGGGGAAATTAATTATCGCTGAAATCGTAAGGAATTTCGATATAGTTCGTGTGAAAAAGACTCAGGTGCCGATCGTTATGAGTAAAACTAATTTCAATCCAGTGCCTGACGAAGGAATTTGGGTGGGTTTCAGGCGTAGGAAAGAAGGTTCAATATTAGAAAAGTAGATGTATAAATTTATCTGACAGATAACGACTCTATTGCTATGCCTGTGAAACAAATGTAGTTGAAATATATTCATTGGTTCCTTTCCTTTTCGCCTTCCTGCTTCACATGTCTTCCTTGCTACCATTTAAACATCCTTGGCGCATCCTCCACAGCTTCTTTTCTTCAGGTCCCATGACTCGTCACGCGTCTTTTACACCTCCACAAGTCGCACTCTTTGCCCTTGCTATGCCCCGTTCGGCCTTTCCTTTTCATGCCTTCTTTACGTTTTCTATTAGGTAAGCGTGAAGAAAGGAATATCTTTCCAATTTTATCACATGCCTACAAATCCGTGCGTAGCGTCGAAAAACGCAAACTTGTTAATGTGCCGACAAATTAATCAGAAATATAGAGGGTTTTAACTACAAAGCTAATTTAATATAACATAACAAATCTCATCTAAAAAATAGTAGAAAATGGTAAGGTCCCTAACACAGATGCAGCATTTCCTCTGTGAATCGCTATGTTGATTCGTCGAACTAAATCATTCCAGGATGTTGTTTCATTGTGTTTCACCGCGGCTCTCCAAGGAACAAAAGTGGCAACATTCCCATACCAAAGGCCGTGCTAACTTCCATTAAATTAAAGCGATTCGCTCTACTCTTTTCTTGTCTTTCCTATAACAACCATTGGGTTGACCATTGCTTATTCAATGGGCTGACGCAGTGTAGGAATTTCTGGTGAAGTTAGAGCGCGTGCGATAATGTCATTAATCGTTTGCGATGAAGTTCTCCATTTTCTGGTTCTGTTACGACTAAAGAATGTATACCAAAGAACCACGAATGTGTTTCATTTTCTTAAGCGATCGATTTCGGGCTTATTGTACCCATCATCAGGCTAAGCGTCAATGAGTATAAAATTGCAGCTTTATCCTTGTACGATGACTTAACATTGGATCTTATTGACTATGTAATTTAGTTGAAAGAAATGGTAAGTAAATTTAGGTATAAATGTAAAATAAATTTAAATTTAATTTACATAATCCGGAAGTACATGGGGATATTCTCTATCGTAACTTAAATGGACATCTTTTTTGGGGTTGCAATTTTATGGAACACATGTCGCAGACAATGAAAGGTGGTAACTGTCTGCAACATGTGTTCCTAAATATAAAACTGCAACCCCAAGAAAGATGTCCATTTAAGTTAACTCGTGCGTAAAATAGTCCAAGATTCGAGAAAAGAAGAGAAACGTAGTGTAGTCACATCTCTGACGCCAAGACCTTCATATACCTATGTCTAACTGGGAGAGTTGCTTGTAGCCAGGTTTTTTCGTTGAATCATAAATTACAAAATTTTAATAAGTGAAACTTGAACGGTGGAATCATAAAACTGCAGGTCGGGTTTTGAGCACCAACGAGGTGAGATGAGATGAGCCATTTTTGGGATTGAAATCGATAATCGAGTTAAATAAAAGGCACAATAGGATGGAAAATCGACAATTCGTGAAATATCTCTTTGCAGTTCGAGACTACTCTGCAGTTGTAGCTGAAGATATGTGAAGATTTGTGTTGGTAAACCTAATCAATTTAATTCCAGGCGCAACTTATTCAAATTGCCGTAAAACGTGTGAGATGAAGATAGCATCATCTTCAGCACAAAGGAAAAACAGTTCACATTTACTAAAATTGAGATTCTGTAATGACTAGCCAAAGCACCATTATCCAAGTACCATATACAGAGTGGCCCAACGAGAAGTATACAGAGGGCTTTTAGAGTATTAAATTTAGAAATTTCGAAAAATCCTCGAACACGTCAATTTTGTATTCGAGGGGGACAACTTTTGGAATACAAATCACGAACCCAAGTCTTCACCCCTCTACGTAGGGAGCTTAACCCCTAAAATTTTAAATAGAATCCTATGGCAAATGGCACATTATTTGAAAGCCAATTTAATCGTGATTACTAATCTGCTTTGCTTTTTAAATTCTATTGATTCGTTTCGGAGAACTGACAGGTTCACTTAAGTTTAACAAACAAATTGAAGCGTCTGATCCGTTCGAAATTAGACTATGGAAGTATATTGTACACGTCAGCCAGCCCATCTCAACTAAAATCAATTGATACTGTGCAAAATACAGCCCTACGAATTTGCCTCGGCGCATTCAAATCCAGTCCCTCTGAAAGCATATATGTACAATCCTCTGAACCCCCCCTATTTATTAGAAGACAGCGTCTTCTACAATCATACTTAGCTCGAATCTCTGCACATCCTACCCATCCCGTTTATAAATTAATACATTCCACTGAACTAGTACCCACAAACAGACCGAGAACACCGCAGTCCATTATCCAAATCCTGCAATCTATACCGAATAACAATATCCATCTCACAAATACAACTCCCATCAAATTCTCAAATACCCCGCCATGGGTAAAATTGCTACCCAACTTAGACACCAGTTTAACTGTCCATAACAAGGAAACACCTGCTCCGTGCCTTAAAGCTCTCTTCAACGAAATAATAAACAGACATTCCTTTGACAAAACTCTTTATACTGATGCGTCCAAGGAAGAACATGGCGTCAGCAGTGCAATCACCACACTAATACAATCGTGTCAACACACCGACTTCCCGAAACCTGCAGTATTTACACTGCCGAACTACACGGCATCCTAAAAGCACTACAAACCTTAACACACACCAACAAATCCGTAAGCATATGTACCGACTCACTCTCATCTCTCCAATCCATAAAGAACATCTACACACAAAACCCAATTGTCCAAGATATTCACGAGGTATGCCATCGACTGACGTCCAATGGAACTGCGGTCACTATAATCTGGCTTCCGTCACATACCGGCATAAATGGTAACGAAAATGCAGACAAAGCCGCAAAACAAGCTCGATCATCTGACATACCCATCGAAAAATTGCAGTTGGCGTACGATCTAAAATCTCTCATCAGACGAGACAGCCTAAAAACATGGCAGCAGCACTGGAATAGGCTAAACACGAAACTGCACCAAATCCAAGCCAACGTAACTCCTACCAAAATACCACCAATACCAATGTCAAGAAGAGACAAAATCGTCATAAGAAGACTCAGAATAGGCCACTCTCACCTCTCGCATGGTTACCTAATGGCATCCGAAAATCCTCCAGTCTGCGAACACTGCAACACCAGATTAACAATAAGCCATGTCCTGTTAGAATGTCGCCGTTACAGTACCTCTCGACTGGACCACCACCTCAGTGAAACACTCCAGAACATCCTAAGCAACCAGATCTACGATGTAATAAACTTTCTGAAATCAACAAACTTGTACAAGTGCATCTAATGTAAATCCCTGTATTTACCTGTACTCGCTATATACGTGTCAATGGCCTTGCTGTCGAGACACAATAATAAATTAAAAAAAAAAAAAAAAAAATAAAATTTTAATAAAGGTGACTTAGATCGCATTTGTTTTGGTTTTTTTTAGAAAAAACCATTTCAAATGCGAATCAATAGATCAATAGAATTTAAAAATCAAAGCAGATTAGTAATCACGATTAAATTGGCTTTCAAATAATGTGCCATTTGCCATAGGATTCCATTTAAAATTTTAGGGGTTAAGCTCCCTACGTAGAGGGGTGAAGACTGGGATTCGTGATTTGTATTCCAAAAGTTGTCCTCCTCGAATACAAAATTGACGTGTTCAAGGATTTTTCGAAATTTCTAAATTTAATACCCTAAAAGCCCTCTGTATACTTCTCGTTGGGCCACTCTGTATAAGTTCCGAGCGTAACGCTATTAGTCATGTCCTTGATTATCATGCGAAATAGTCGGGGACCCAGAGTTGTCGCCTTGTTGAACACCTCCTTGGGAAGAGATAATCTCAGACCCATAAAAAAGATGGGAAGGATCACGGTAACATTGATTCGATGAATTGTAATATTGTGGTTAAATTTCTAAAACTTCGCAACATTTCTCTCGATCAACAATATTAAAAGCATCCAAGAGGTCGACTTTCAGTAGTACCTTAGTAGAACTATGAGAGTATTGAAAATAACGGCTGGTAGAATAGATTCCTGTTTCAACGCCGCCTTTGATACCAAATCCTAACTGATCTGGTCGTAAGGACAACAAACGATTTTTGCTAACAACCTTCTAATAATGGATCCAACGGCTATTGGACGAATTGGAATTGGGAAAGGTGGATAAAGCCTTGCTTACGCCGGACTCGGAAAGTAAACAAAGAGGACAATGATTTCAAGATAACGAAGACACAGGAGAAGCCTTATCTAAAGGATTGAGGACGTTTCTGCCGCAGGGCTTCGAGTATCAGTATTGTTTGGTTTGCGCTAATTTTTTAGCCTTCTAGAGGCATCTGCCAAAAAAGGAAGTTTCATGTGTCTTTTTATCCATGAATTTAGAATATTTTTTTACTAAAGAAGTTAGGTTTTTTATGATTAATTTTTTCTTCTTTTTTCTTCCTAAATTATTTATCGTTTCATGTATAGGTACTAAAAATGCTTTAGGTTTAGACTTTAGAGGAACTTTTGTTGAGTTTCAATTTCGAGCTTATTTATACTAAATAGAGTTCGCCATTTAACGCGTTAGCATGAATACACGAAAGTCTAACTCCATATTTTATACAGCACTTTCGGTTTTTATTTCATTTATTTGTCACCGAAATTAAGATACGTTTTCGGTTTTTCAGATTTGCGTTTTGTATCTTTGAAAACAATGTAGGTGTAGAATAATAGGTAATACCATTGTATATACAATAGTATCTGTATATAGTAGGAGACAATATGATCCTTGAAGTAAAATGCGAATATCCAAGGGCGGCCGAATTACTGTCATCCCTTTCAAATCGTTTTCAAAATGAAGTGAGTTGATGAGAAGTATGTGATTTCACTAATTGAAACAAGTCAACTGCCTTGTTCGGCTTTGCTCTATAAAAATAAAACTGAAAATAAAAACATTGAAAGGGAAGAGTAATGCGGACACGATTTTCAGTATACGAGTATGTATCATAAGTGGCTGAAACGCTTGAAGGGCGAATTTCTGTTCGCTACTCAGAGAAACTACCTACTGTTCTATGTTACATTCTTCA